CTATATACAAATGGATTTACACATTTCGTTGTCTGTGATTACCATTTGTTTGTATTGTGCTAAAACGTTATATTTAAGAAGTACTGTTACGATAAAGATACTAATTTGGCCTGAAATATTTTGCGGGTCTCAGCTAGTAGTGTATAACAGATGGTAGCACTATTTTACAGCTTAGCAGTAGAAGTTCCTAAAAATACTTTGTATACATGATTTAGAACAATTAAAGTACATTGATATAACTATTGAAATAAGGCATAAAGGCAACATTTCTTGTTTTGAGTACATTTAACACTTCCAACTTAAATAGTATGATTTTTAATGTTAACATTCAGTTAAATAAGTATTAAATTGCAATTGCATGCTTAATATTTTGCTTTTTTCCATTCCTAATGTTTGCTTATGGATGTTTTACACTTACATGTAACAGTCATGCAACAACTTGCATAATGAACAGTCTGAACATTATCATAATAACTTCTTTCTACAGAAAAGTGTATGTACTGAGATGAGATAAACTCAGATTTTAGCCATTTCACTACTGAGTACTGAGATACTTGTCTCAGAAAAAATCCAGAGTAGTACGAGTCATTATTGTTCACTCCACGCTGATTGAATTACACACAATAACTGCATCTTAGGAGAAATCCTGAGCAGTATGAGTCAGTAATTACTCTGTCCACTATCATCAAATACACAATAACCTTACCCATTTCACAGGTAAAATATCATGATGTATAAGTATTAATTACTCTGTCCACTCTCAACAAATACATAATAAGTTTACCCATTTCACAGGTAAAATATCATGATGTATAAGTATTAATTACTCTGTCCACTCTCATCAAATACACAATAAGTTTACCCATTTCACAGGTAAAATACCATGTAGTGTAAGTCATTAATTACTCTGTCCACTCTCATCAAATACATAATAAGTTTACCCATTTCACAGGTAAAATATCATGTAGTATAAGTATTAATTACTCAGTCCACTATCATCAAATACTTTAATTCTCATCAGACACACGCAGTAACTTTACCCATTTGTTTATGATCAACTGTCAAGACATTTTTTACTTTATATAGGTGGGAAAATGCATTTCAAAAATGAACAAATAAACTGATGGAAAATGAATTCTTAAAGGAATGTTATGACATGTAATGCCGTTGAATTGAGATTACTTAATCATGTAAGGTCATAAAACTGGATAATGAAGTCACAAACATGTTTGGATTTTGTATCTTAACCAAAGTGATTACTTGATTATAAAACTTCCTCTGAAAACTGATAAATGTTTAAAGATTCTAGATTAATAAGTTGAAATATTTTTGTTTCTGCAGAGTGAAATGTAAAACTTTTCAAAATAATTTGTGTTTGTGTTTATAGGAATCATTTGCTTATTTTTTAGTTAAAATAGTACAGATATCCTTTATCAACTTGGCATTATTTTCCTCCTCCTTAACCAGAAACCCAGGAGTTAAAACTATTGAAGAAGACCTGTTTCAAGCGATGTATAAAACAGGGCTTATACTTCAAGCACACATAGATAGACCACAACAGATTAATTTTCAACGAGCAGCTCGCACAGATAAAGGTGTGTCTGCTGTGAGACAGATTGTCTCTCTTAAGCTGCCAGTGACCGAGAAACCTGATGGGATTGTAGAAAAGATTAACAACCATTTACCTCCACAGATACGTGTTATAAGTAAGTAATAACATGTAGGGGTTATAAGTTAGTTACAACAAATGGGTGTTATACACAGGTTATCAAAGAACAGATGGGTTTTATAGAGTAACTACAACAAATGGTTGTTAAATGTTATACATAGCAGATACATGTATGCCATAAGGTTAGTCACAGCAGATAGGTGTTATAGGTTAGTTACAGCAGATGGGTGTTATAGGTTAGTCACAGCAGATAGGTGTTACAGATTAGTCACAGCAAATGGGTTTTATAGAGTAACTACAACAAATGGTTGTTAAATGTTATACATAGCAGATACATGTATGCCATAAGGTTAGTCACAGCAGATGGGTGTTATAGGTTAGTTACAACAGGTTGGTTTTAAACATTAGTCACAGCAAATGGGTGTAATAGGTTAGTCACAACAGGTTGGTGTTAAACATTAGTCACAGCAGAAGGGTGTAATAAGTTAGCCACAACAGGTTGGTTTTGAACATTAGTCACAGCAAATGGGTGTAATAAGTTAGCCACGGTGTTAAACATTAGTCACAGCAGATGGGTGTTGTAGGTTAGCCACAACAGGTTGGTGTTAAACATTAGTGACAACAGGCTGGTGTTAAACATTAGTGACAACAGGCTGGTGTTAAACATTAGTGACAACAGGCTGGTGTTAAACATTAGTGACAACAGGCTGGTGTTAAACATTAGTGACAACAGGCTGGTGTTAAACATTAGTGACAACAGGTTAATGTTAAACATTAGTGACAACAGGTTGGTGTTAAATGTTAGGTACAGCAGATGAGTATTAAGGGTAAGATAGTTATTATAGGTTATTCATGGATGAGAAAAGTGCACTGTGAATGAGTTATTAGTTTAAATTTTACTAGATTAAACATCTGTTACAGGAGAGAAAATTCACCTGTGTAAAAGTCAAACAATTTAATCAGGTGTTAAATTTAAAAAAAAAGGGACATAACAGACAAAACTTGAAAACTATCTATTCAACAGTCTTAACCATCATGATGAAATATTAGAATCATGAGTTTTAAACCCATATAATATGTAGGTCGTGAAGGCAAGTAAATGTAGAAGTATCAGAAACAGAGTGTTACAGTTTATTCACAGCAATGTAGGATGTATATTAGAGCATAGGCCAACTAAAATATAAAAAAAATTAAATAAATGTAGTCCCTTAAAAGTTTTTTAAATCATAGGTTCCTTTTTTTTTCTGTTCATGAAAAGTGTTTTGAAAGCAGGTTTGTGTATTTTCCTTTTATATTTTATTTTCAAAATTAACTTATCATTTAAGTTACAATATTTGTGGCTTATTATTTTATTACAAGTTATAGCTTTGACGGTGAGGAAGAATATCTTAAAAAAACAGGTACAACATTTCTATCACTGATGTGATCATTCTCAAGTGCACCTATGATTAAAACATCATATCTGTTTTAAAAAGATTCTTCCTTACTGTAAAAGCTGTAACTTGTAATAAAATAATACTTATAGTCAGTAAATAAATTCAAAACTAATTATTCTTGGCTTATGTTTTCCCAGTTATTTATTGATTTTTCTTGCTATTGTTTATATTTTTACTTAATTCACAATCTGGGTAGGTAGACAGACTTCTCGTGTATTGATTGTAAAGGTATCACTTTCTGAAGAACTTATCAGTTCACATTATAGTTTTTTTAGTGTTGATTCTTCAATTGTTCATTTCTCTGATTTTATTATATGGGAATGTTTTTTCACTCTTCTTGCTTCTATAGTTATTTTTCCCACAAAGGGTATTGAATGTTTTTGTTGTTGTATTGCCAGGTATCAAGAGAACAACCAAAGGGTTTAACTCGAAGATTAGCTGCGATGCTAGGACATATGCTTACATGTTGCCCACTTTTGCTTTCACACCACCTGAAGTCCTTACAAAAGAAGATTACACTATTCCAAGTATGTATACAGATTAATGGTTATGTTAATGTGTTTGAGTACAAAAATGGTGGATTTTGTTGTAAAGTTTTGTTTAATGAAGTTTGTTGTTGTTGATCTGTGTTAATTAATTGTGTAAAACTAATAATTTATTTTCTTCAACTTAAGCTTTTTGTACTTTTGTATTGGTATAAAATTTGCTCCAAGACTAATAAGACAAAACTGTCTATGAACTACAAATGTCTTTAGCTTAGGGAATTGGCATTTTTTCTCTTTACCTTATACTCTCTTGGTGAACAGTAAAATGTACATAGTTCCCTAACATGGGAAATGAAACTGATGTGAGAGGTATAACTTGCTAGTTTATCATGAGGTTGTTCTACACTAAACCTTGAATTTGGGAAAACATTTATAACATCTGCTTGAATGAAAAACTTTGATTTTGAAGTGTTTGTAATTATGATTGGCTTAAACTCCATTCAGTGTAATTATGATTGGCTCAAACTCCATTCAGTGTAATTATGATTGGCTCAAACTCCATTCAGTGTAATTATGATTGGCTCAAACTCCATTCAGTGTAATTATGATTGGCTCAAACTCTATTCACTGGATACTAGTGGTTCTTCAAACCATTAAATATGTTCTTATGTTTCAGTCCATATGCTTCCTCTATTTGTAACCATTCATGTCAGTAGAAAGGAGCTTCTTATGGCTATTAAAAGTGCTTGTATTTACTGCTATATCAATTGGAATGGAATTCTTACACAGCATAATTTGTGTTTGTTTCTCATACCACTTTCACATAAATATTTAAAATCTTTTCAGATTTATCTCTAACTTTGTTAATTGTTATCTATAAGTTTTTGCAGAAATTAATCAAGTAAAGTAAATTTAAAGGATTGATTTGGAAATTGTAAAAGGTTATCAAAGGGCAGAATATCTATTTAGAAACTCTGGAAGGTTATCAAAGGGCAGAATATTTTATTAGAAACCCTGGAAGATTATCAAAGGGCAGAATATGGTAATCCAGGTAATGTTACGTTTGGAAACTGTGAAAGGTCACAATATAACCCAGGCATAATTCAGATTGGAAACTGAAAGGTCATCAAAAGACAGAATATGGTATTCTGTTTGGAAGCTATGAAATGTGTTAATCTGGGCATAGCTCTGATGTAGAAACATCACAACCAAAGGTTCAATATATTATGATATTTTTTCGTGAGTGGGAAGCAATTGTTTAACTTTAAGAGCCAAACAAGTGAGTATTTTTAAATATTGACAAACAATGAATATTTTGGTAATTAATTCCAATAGCTGAAAATACATTAAAAAAAATCAACAGATCTTTGTTTTG